GGAAGGCTAGAAGTTTGAGCCTCGCCTGGGCAACTGAATTTGAGGCCCTGTCTCAAAATAAAAGGTCTGAGGATGTAGCTTAGTGCAAAGGCCTTGGGTTTAATGCCCAATACTACAACAAGACAAAAACAACACAGTAAGTGGAAGATGCAGACGACAGAGTCTAATACCCAGGAAGCGTAAGAAGCTACTTATTACTTTCATTTCTACTGCTCCCCGGAAACTCACCCACATTAGTTCCCTGCAGCCTTGATAGCTCACCTTTAGCACTCTAGCGAAGCGATCCAGACAATTACCCACAGCAATATCGATGGTTTCACCAAAGATTCGGTACCGATGTTCTGAGTAGGCAATGACCTAAGGGGATGAGGATGTCCATGAAAACAAGTCTGCAAAGAGGAGAATTTGACTCTGGGGAAGACAGCTGCAAAGCACCAACGTGACCAAGTTAGCTTCTGATAAGAAATGAAAACATAAAATGTCCCTGCCCATTCCTGGTACTATCAGGGGTTTCCTTCCTTTCTGATGTAGTTTTTACTCTACTGCCAAAATAGCTGGTGACAAAGGGAAAGGAAAAATCCTGCCTTTCTTTCTACTTTGCTTATCTTCTCTTTCCAACGTAATCACTGTCCCTGTTTCTTGCACCAAGGCAAGCTTCAAAAGGGAAGAAGAAAACTCTACTACTGCTTTTCACCAAGTCCTTCAGCCTCTGATGCTTTTTGTGCATCAGCCTTCAGGCCTCAACCAGCTGCCTGCCCTCTACCAACTGATTTCACAGCAATGTGTACTTCCCTCTAATAACAACCCTTTCATAAACAGAGGACAATTCTGAATAAACTACTGCTAACAGCAAACTATCAGGTGTTATAAGAATCCAATACCAACCTTAAAAGGTCACGTAAAGTATCCCAGATAACTTTAGCTTCCCCCATAAATTTAAAGTATCTCTATCATTTGTAAAGAACTTCTTAAAAAGTTATTCGTATTTTAATGCTCTTAAAAAAAAAAAGTCTTATATATTTGCACTCAATAACATAACACAGGGGCCGGGGAGATAGCTCAGTAGAATACGTGCTTGCCTGGCAAGTGCAGGGTCCTGAGTTCAATCCCCGGCACCAGAAAAAAAAAAAAAAAAACACAAAAAAAACAAAATAGCATAATACATGCAGTTACCCTGAAGAAATAAATCAGATGGCGGCCCTTAGTTTTAATTGCAAACATTTAAAAAATAAATTCCACTAATCTGGTCTACACTAATCTGGTCTACCTTACAAATGGTAAGGACTGAACCCCTCAAAATAATGAAATTTATTTAACTTCTGGTTTTTTGAGACAAGGTCTCACTCTGTGTAATTCAGGCTAGCCTTAAACTCGTGATTCTCCTGCCTACCCTGTGAGTGCTGGCCTTACTTCCCTACCTACCTGTCTTCCTTCCTCCCTCCATCTTTGTTTCCGCCTTTGTCTTTTTGAGACACGGTTTCACTATGTAGTTCAGACTGGGACCATAAGTGGAATTACAAGCCTGTGCCACCACGCCAGGCCTTTATCATGCTTTTCTAAAGTAAAAATTCCTACTCTTTATAATCACATACATAAAAGTCAACTAACATCCTAATGATTGTAAATGTTCTAACATTGCCCAAAACCCCAATATCACAAACTTTGTTGTGAGTCTTATATAATAACTTAGGTTTAGATATGCCAGCTTTGTTCTTATAGTTCCTACAACTCAGGAAAAACAAGGAAGCTGATGGTTGAATGTTTCAGAAATTAAAGATGGAACGGGTAAAATACTCTCAATACCTGAGTATTTCCTCCGCTGACATATAACACAGTTGGACTGGTAGCTCCTGTGATGAGACGGCCCATTTCAATGTGGCCTATACAATGGTTCACCCCTATCAGTGGTTTATTCCACAGCTGGGCCACTGTACGGGCCACAACTGCTACGGAAGCCAATGGGGCACCCATACCAGGACCTATACAGATAAAAATGAGAGTTAGAATTTGAGAGATGAGAAAAAACAGGTGAGCGGAGTAAGAGATGAGTGTGCCTATAGCAAGTGGTGGCACAGGCAAAGATACACTGCTTTAACCCAGCTAGTCTAGCTGTACTCTTCCACTGGAGCATTTTCCCACCCATACCTTTGGTGTAAGCAATGCAATCGATATCTTGGGAGGTTAATCTCGCTTCAGTTAGTGCTTCCTGCAGCAAGTCTAGGATAACAGCTCGGTGGTGTCTGGCAGTAGCACCTGGGAGGAATCCTAGGAAATGAACACAGGCCAAAGATCACAATTTTTTGTAGCAAACATAGAAACTAATTTAAAATAAAGTTTGAGTAATAGAGGAACAATCCTTTCAGTTTTCCAGTTTCAGATATTCTTTCCAGGTCCTATACGTGTTATTTAGCTTTCAGAAACGTCCTTTCTCACACTCAAATGCCTTCAATTGAATGCCTTCTGCATTCAATTGAAATAATATACACCTCATACTCTTTGGTGACTTTTCTGTGACCCTACAGAACTGTGTATGTGACTACCCTGTTCTAGTTGACAGATCATTTCTGTGCCCAAGTGCCTAGGAGAGTAAGTAGCAAACATGCGTGCGCATTTCCAATGAACAACCGGTTGCAGGGAAACTTTTCAGGTTTGTATGGCTCAGCTGCCGCTTCCTAAGTATACAGATGTTTTGGGGGAAGGTACACAAGCTACAGTACCTTATAAGTGATACTAATTAAAAGTTATGTGTCTGTTCATTTAGTCCTAAGACCTAGCAATACACTTAGTATGCCCGTTTTAAAAGTAAGGAGTACATATCCAAAACATTACAGGAGTACAAAAATAGCTGTCAGGTAGACCTGACTTGACACCTAAGCTAAGAATCTTTCTGCTTTTATCTCTATAATATTTCTAATTCTATCCCGAAGGAACCATGTATTATACTGCAGTATAATATTCGTGTTGCGTCTCACTCCACGGCCACCTCATAACATTTTTGAATGCTCACAACACGAAAGGGACTCAGAACCTGAACGAACCAGAAATTCCGTGTTCCTGTGACTCTCGCAACCATCTGTCTTGAAACGACTCACATAACCTCAATCCGACACACACCAAAAGCCGTAAGAGAAGGCAAACGTGTCCGACCCCACGTCATTCATTAGAGTTGCGAAATGGGTGCAGGGAAGCGGGCCGCGAGTTCCCGTCCCCGCCCGCGGCTCACCTGTGCCCGGCGGCGTAACGTAGGTCCGCCGCGGGTTCGCCAGCACCTCGCCATCCCGCACCACTCCCACGCCTATCTTGTTGGCGCTGCCTTCAAAGCCTAGCACCACCGGCATGGTGTAGACCGGAGACACCCCGGAGGGCCCCTGGCGAGCCGCGGCGCGAGGGAAGCCCTCACCGGTGAGCGCCGGGCGCTGGCACTGCGGCACGGAGACCCGGGTCACTCCGCCGACACAGCACGGAGCGCGGGGACGGAGCCGCAGCGCCCGCGGAGGAGCTCCGGCAGGGGGAGCGCGCGCGCCCGCGCCGCTGCCGTCAAGGCCCCTGCAAGGGCCTGTCTTTCCATCTGCCAGCGGCGCTGGCCCGGCCTCTGCGCCTTACAGCCCTGTCGGTTCCCATGGCTGTCCCCAGCCCAGATTTCCCACTTTTTTCTTCCCTTTTATACAACGTTGTCTTGTTTGGTCACGATGGAAGAATAATTCATGAAACCGGCACTTCCACAAATAGCTAGAAAATGGCGTACTGGGGTCTTCAGTAATCTCAAAGAGGGAGGGTTTTGTCACGTGATCCCAGAGAGCCCAATCAGCCGTGCTCCTCGGCCCGACGGGACGGGCGTCCGGTCACGTGACCACGCCTGTTCCCCACGTGGGAGCGCAGCGTGTTCTATTCTTTGTGCTCAGCTACCGAAATAGGGAGAAGTCTGGCTGGGGTCCGGAGCAGGTCAGATGTGGAGTTGCTGTCTTCCCCTCATACGGGGTTCTCAAGCGGCCTAATGGGTCAGGACTCTTCATTAAGGTCCCCATTTGGCCAGAGGGCAGACCTTGAGAATGCAAGGCATTCAGAAATGATGTAAAGTGGGTGAGGGGCTGAAGGCCCTTGATGATCGAAGCGGGGGAAAGAATTGAGAGATAAAGGGGTTTGAAAGGCCAGCCTGGTCGGCGACGACAGAAGGGCGAGTCTTCTCTTTAGTTTTATCTGACTGCGATTTTTTTTTTCGTCTACAGACCACCCCGTGAAGATACTGTTTTGGTGGTTGACGAGGTACAGGTACGGAAGAGCCTTCGTTACAGGGATGCCAAAGCGTGGAAAAAAGGGATCAGTGGCGGAAGATGGGGAAGAGCCCAAGAGAGGTAGGAGAATTAAATGAGCCCCTCTTCCTACAAGGAGGGGTGTGGTACTAATAATTTCTTCTATGAGTGATACACACCTCGTTTTCAGTTGACCAGTCAGGTCATTTATGTATGTATTATCTGTGTTAATTCGTGTTTGAAGTTGGAAAACGTCTACATTTACTATTGTGTCTTATTTTGTAGAGCCAGAGGCCAAGAAGAGTAAAGTGGGAGCAAAGAAAAACGAAAAAGAGGCAGCAGGAGAAGGCCCAGTCTTGTATGAGGATCCTCCAGATAAAAAACCTCGCCCAGTGGCAAATCTGCCACAGTCAAGATATGCTCTTGGAACGTAGATGGGCTTCGCGCCTGGATTAAGAAGAAGGGCTTAGATGTGAGTGGCATTCAGGCAGAGGCGGCGACATACTGAATGAACTTGAAATTTTATCGCCTTTTTCTCATGTCATTGAGTTTTCTTTTTGGGAGGGTAAGGTCTCACTTTATAGTTTAACCTGGCCTCAAACTCGCTGTAGTTCTGCCTCAGCATCCAGACTGCTGGGATTACGGGCATGTGCCACCTCATCCAGGGAGTAATATAAGTGGAAGGAGACCAAGTCCTGCCTATATGTCCATCTTTCAGTTCTGTTGCATGGTTTCATGTCTCTTCCTGTTCCAAAAACCACTTTACCAGCTTTCTCCATTTTATCTCCACTGTTTTGTTAATAATTATTGCTTAAAATCCTAGTTGGAAATTAGGTGTGGCCCAAACCTATATGCCCAGCACTCTGAGAGGCTGAAGCAGGATTGTAAATTTGAGCTCAGGGCAGCAGTTTAGTGAACCTGTATCTCAAAAAATGAAAGAGCTGGGGATATAGCACAGTACAAAGGTCCAGGATTAATTCCTACTACCTCAAAAAGATAAAGTTACAGTATATATGATTTTTCCTTTTAGTTCTTAATCACATAATTTAAATTTGCTTAAGTATTAACAATTTGGAGAAGGATTTTTTTTGTGTGTTGGGGGGAGACTAGCTCAGGCTGCAATGAGGGTGGGTCTGGTGCGACTTGTGGAGCTGGGGATTGAACTGTGGTCCCCTGCAGCTGAGTTTGCCCCAAGTATCAACAGTTCAGAACCAGGGTTTGATCTGCAGCGCCACATGCCCTGCCAGCCCCCACTCCCCCACCCCTCACAGAGGGAGGCTTGGAAACAGGAGGATCGCTGCAAGTCCAATCTATGTAGTGAGACCCTGTACTAAATACATAAAAAAGTATTAACAATCTGTTGAATTTCTTGTGCATGAGAATTGTGTATAGCTAGTACAGTATACATATACTATCTATATGAACTGTTCAGTAAATGTATCTGCTAAATTAATACTTTTTCTGCCACTCACAGTGGGTAAAGGAAGAAGCCCCAGATATCCTGTGCCTCCAAGAGACCAAATGTTCAGAGAACAAACTCCCAGCTGAGCTTCAGGAGCTGTCTGGACTATCCCATCAGTACTGGTCAGCGCCTTCTGACAAGGAAGGATATAGCGGTGTGGGTCTGCTTTCCCGCCAGTGCCCACTCAAAGTCTCTTATGGCATTGGTGAGACCCTATTAATTCCTAATGCCCAAGCTCTTTTAAATTAATTGTTAATACTCCAACCCTCACCAGGGTTTTAATTTTGTTTACTGCTTTTCTTATTTTTTAATACTGACTCTTCATTTCTGTTAGGTGAGGAGGAACATGACCAGGAAGGCCGGGTGATTGTGGCTGAATTTGACTCGTTCGTGCTAGTTACAGCCTATGTACCCAATGCAGGCCGGGGTCTGGTAAGGCTGGAGTACAGGCAGCGCTGGGATGAGGCCTTTCGCAAGTTCTTGAAGGGCTTGGCATCCCACAAGCCTCTTGTACTATGTGGGGACCTCAATGTGGCTCATGAAGAAATTGATCTTCGTAACCCCAAAGGAAACAAAAAGAATGCTGGCTTCACTCCACAGGAGCGCCAAGGCTTTGGGGAACTCCTGCAGGCTGTGCCCCTGGCCGACAGCTTTCGTCACCTGTACCCTAATGCTGCCTACGCCTACACCTTTTGGACTTACATGATGAACGCTCGGTCCAAGAATGTAGGTTGGCGCCTTGATTACTTTCTGTTGTCTCATTCCCTTTTACCTGCTTTGTGTGACAGCAAGATCCGTTCCAAGGCCCTTGGCAGTGACCACTGTCCCATCACCCTGTACTTAGCACTGTGACATTCTCCAAATCACTGTGAGCCTGGGAATAACTGCCCCCTCCTCCCTGTACAAATACTCCTCCTTTACTGTAAAGTCCAGTTTCTCAACCATGAGAATATGAATCTTTTGATCAGGAACCATTACCAGGTTTTTTAAACCCAAGTTTTTTTTTTTTTTTTTGTGAATTCTCCTTATGTTAAAGTTTCTGACAAGTTCTATTTTGAACTATGTGTAAATAAAAGGCCATAGTTTCAGCCTTGCTGTGTTTATGTTTACCCTTCAGTGGGGCTACAAATATTCATATGAGTTAACAACTAGAAGAGGTTAGTCACGACCTTGTTTATTTACAAGCACTGGATAAATCCCTAACCTCTGGAGACAGCAGCCCTACCCAGCTCAGTTAAGTACTGCAACTGGGGATGGGGTGGGGTAAGGAAGGTTGGAAGGAAGAATTAAATGAAACAGACTGGGGAAATATACCCCACATTAAATAATTATATACACATCAGTTCCCGTGGTTCTGTACAGAGCAGCGGCTGGCCCCACCCCAACAGGACACGGAATGTGGGGAGAGGAGACGGTACTGAGGTCAGAGCCAGCCCCTGGTGAAGTGCAATAGCAGCAGCAAGATCCTAAGTGGTGCATGAGAGGGAGGGGAACCCCCAGGCTACCCACCCCCACCCTGCCCTGGAATGTATAAGGGACAGGAATGGGTCTCAGGGAGCATATAGGAAGGACAAGGCTAGAACCATCAGTAGGACCCAGGTTTAGGGGCAACACCTTGCCCAATTCACCCTAAACACAGCAACCCTTGGAGGAAAGCAGAAGGCCAGCAGTGGTTTTTCTCTACCCCTCCAAACCTAAGTGGGGGCCTGGTTCCTTCCTACCTCTCCCCTGGGAAAAGGAAGGCAGCTGCCTGGCTTCCACATAGAAGCCCAGGGAGCCTTTTACTCCAACTCCCTTTGTAGTGTCACTGTCCCCACCAGGGAGGGGCCAGGCACAGTCTGTGGCTCATCAGGGGGCTCAGGAGAAGTTCTGGACAGGGTGGCTGACCTTCATACAGGCCCAGTAGAGAGCCCGGCCCAAACACAGCACAGCCAACAGGATGACAAATGCCCAGGCTGCATATATACCTCCATATCGTCGTGCATGTTTCCATGTCCCAAACTGAGGAGAGAGGAAAAAAAGATGGTTACTCTTCATAACGTTACTACTGAGAACCCTAGAAATAGTAACAATTCATTTCATTCCTCTTCCTATCCACAAGTAAACACTTTCAAGGCCATCTGGAAGGCCAGATTACTCAGTTCCCTTGAGGTGGAAAATAATCCCAGACATCTGTCAATACCTTAGTCTGAACTAGCCTAGTATCCCTCAGTTTAAACCCTTTCTTCACTGCCCTGACCTCTACAGAAGTCTTAATACCTGCAACAATAAGACAGTCATGCGCTGCTAGCTCATCTATACCGTGAAACCCCCACTGTCACTTTTTAGGTTACCAGTTTCCCAAATCTCAGGATGATGAACCTGATGAATCAAAAGGGCTGGGTTAAGGTTACTCACAGCGAGCCCAGTGGCTGTGACTGCCAAAAGCAAGCCAAGCAAGAAGCAGCAGATACATCTCTTTCTTGGATATCTGCGCCCAATAGATGACCTGTGAGGAAACAAACGATTGAACTGGGAGGAATGTATGCAATGTGTTAATTATTGAAACTGTCCTACCAAAAAAAAAAAAAAAAAAAGATTGACAGTTCTAAGGGCTCTGTTGTTGCACACAGCACCAAATTACCAGATCAGTCCCTATTCACTTACACTTTCCTGCAGTGTGGGCACCGTGCCAAGGTTCGGTCAGTGAACTCAGTCCACTATTGAGAAAGAAAAAGTAATTATAGAAAGTAAGTCTTCTTCAATGAGAACCTTGGGGCATGGGAAAATGAGAAATGTGGACGGAATTGTTCAGGGTTCATTACATTGTTCCTTATAGTATCCCAACATTCCCTCCTCACCAGAAAAGTATTCTTGCAATGTCCACAGATGACCCTAACACCCATTGGCTGTGGTTCTGGACTCAGAGGTCCTGGATGGACAGGGCCCAGGTTGATGATTCTTTTGCTATACAGAAAGAAGATACTATATGTGAAAAACCATAGAATTCCCACAGTGTGCCTCCCTCACATCCCCACTCCCTGTCCATCAAGTTCCTTTACTTCTCTGTAATGTACAATGTTAAAATCCCCCATCTTATACCAGTGAATCTATGAGAATACTAAACCTTAGGCCTCCAATTCCCCTTTCATATCAGGATCTCATGCCCCACCCATTCTTGTTTTAATTAATTATTTGGTACAGGGTCTCACTACTTATGCATTTGAACTTGTAGTGCTCCTCCTGTCTCAACTTCCCAGTGCTGGGATTACAGGCATGCACCACCACACCTGGTTTCAGTTGCACGGCATGTGGTATTGGGGATCAAATCTGGGTCCTTGTGCTTGCCAGGCAGGTGCTGAATGATCTCCCCAGTCTCCACTGGCTATTTTACAGAATATTTCTAAGTCAAAGCTTCATCAGCTTCTTCTCCTTATAAATACTGATCTCTCAAACCTTTACATTTTCTATAAGCATTTATTTTTTTGTTTACCAATTTTCTTTACTTATCCTCTTCCCCATCTTATGTCTCTTACCAATAGGGCCTAGGGCAGGCAATCCGCTGGGATGTCACTTTGCAAATAAGGAGACAGTTACAGGGACATCGAACATATTTTTTCCCTGGGGGTGCATTCTTGATTGGCTAGAGAACAATTGAGATATTAGCAAGCAAACCTCTAATCCCAATTCCTTCCAAGCACACTTTTGCCAGGGAGGAGAAATGAAAAGAGACATGTGAGATTTTCAAATAGAGCTAAATCATAATATCCAGGGTAAGTATGAAGATGAACTTTAACTTCAGTGAGTGGCTTTTGGGGAAATAGCCGTGTGAAACTCCTGGAACTGAAACTGAGTTTCACGAAGAGCCCTTCATCAGGGACTACAATGGAGATCAGAAAGAGGATTCAGGAAACGGGGCCCATTTTGTACACAAGCATAACTTACGGTGGCTTCATTGCAGACACCACATTTGACTACATGCTGATGCATCTTGCCTTCCACGTTGATGAGAGACTGGCAGACTCGGCAGGTGATCATGGGTGCATTGCCACTGTCCGGGCTGGTCAGAGGCGAGTAAGGGGGTGGGTCCTCCCCAGGCAGCACCGCTGGATGCCCCTCAGGGAACGGGGAAAATGCTAAAGAGCAACCAGATAAAAAGGATTGGGATCACTCGCAAAACCTCTCATTGAAGCTCCACAGGGGCAAGAAGCTCTATCTGATCTTCAACCCTTCTTCTGATCAAGCTCTGCGGACTTCTCACAACAGGCTTACACCAGGCTCCTCCAAAACCACCTCCATTCCCGAGCTCGGGCTAGACTGTAGGAGAAAGCCTACCGCCGCGGCACAGGTGCCACAGTCCCGCACCTGGCGCTCGGGCCCCGCCCCCGCCCCGCCCCCTCCCGCCTCTCCGCGCACCCCTGGGAACAACTCGGGCCCCCCCGGGCTTACCCTGGGGCGGGGCATGTTTACCGGCTCCATACGGTGGTGCGGAGGGGGTCAGGCCTCCCCCGGGCCCAGCCCCACTACCGCCCGGCCCTACTAAGCCGTTGCCGCCAGCGCCACTGTCGATGGGCTCGGACAGCAGTGGGGAACGCTCTCCATCTGCCGCCATAGCTGTCTCCCTCCAGGGTCAGCGTTCCAGCTCCCTTCGCCGCCGTCGCCACCGTCGCCGCCGCTACCGGGTCCCCCAGGCGCCTGCGCGCCCGGCTCCCGACTCGCCCCGCAGCTAGCGGCCGGCCCCGCCCAGTTCCGTCCCGCAGCACGCGACAGCCTATCCCCGCCCTCGCCGCACTGTCATTGGGGTAGGTGACCCAGTTCCCGGTCTATGAAGGCAACTCTCCTTCCCCATTGGCGAACGCTGCTCAACGTCACTGTCACATGACCTTCCAAGAGAGGCTGAGCTTGCAAAAACTGCACGTGACTCTGGGTTCTGCTGGCCATTGGAAGCGTGGCCCATCGCGCTACCTCCAGACCAGGAGGTGGGGCTGGACTGCTTCTCCTCACTGGTTACGGTGTCGGGAAGCCGCGCGCCCTCTGTCCCTGCGCGTCATCTGCTTCTCATTGGACTGAAGACTCCTCTGAAAGACTTTTCTTTGCGTTATGGGTCGCCGCCCTTTGGCCGGTGAATTCTTTCCCTTAGCCCTGTGATCCGTAAGGCACAACTTTATTGGCTCAAAATTAGCGCCAGAACATGAGGGGCGTGGCTTAAGATTGGAGGAGGAGGGGCAATGAGGGCGGAAGCTTCGGTAGTTTTAGTAGCCAGCCGACTGTTAGGGGAACAGTAGGGATTGTTAGCTTCCCCGGTCAAGGGACGTCTTTAACACCAGGGTGGACAGGGGTGGTGGCATGTGCCTGTAATCCCAAATTCTTGAGCCCAGCGTGGACAGTATAGCAATTTGGCAAGATGCTGTCTCAGGATGGAAATAAAAAGACAGATGGAGTTGTAGCTCAACCCTGTTTTCAGTGTCCCAGGACAGGTGGTGGTGGGGAATCAAGGTAACTATGTACCAGGAAGATATGTGTTGTTTTGTTTTGTTTTGTTTTGTTTTTGTGTGTGTGTGTGTGGAACTGGGGCTTGAACTCAGGCCCTTGTGCTTGCCAGGGAAGCATTTATTGTACAGAGCCATTTCCCCGGCCCCCAGGAAGATATGTGTTTAAAAAAAAATTGAATATTATATCACCCTGACCTTTTTCATTGGTCTCTTTTAGGATAGGACATGAGCCTATTCTCCAGGGAACTGTCTTGCAGATGCCACCCTCTCGGCCCCCACCACAGTTCACATTGTGAAATTGAAGTTGTAGCTCAGTGAAACCATTTGCTCAGCATGCACCATATCCTGGGTGTGATCCTTAGCACTGGAAAAAAAAAATTGTAATATTTTATTTTTATTCAATCTCTCCACTACTGGAAAGAGAGCACCTAGTTTTACACAATTTAATGACCACCAACCCTTAACAAGTATGCATGTTTAAATTAACCAGTAAATCCAACGTCATATAAATCACTTTGTTAAGCTAGCACAGTCTTTAATATTTGTCTTTTAGTTTTTGTGGGAAGGGTGGTGAGATAGGATCTCCCTCTGTTGTTCAGACTGGACTTGAACTCACTGTGTGGCTCATGCTGGCCTCAAACTCCCCTTGATTTTCCTGTATTGGCCTATAGGATTACAGGCATATGCTATTAGGCCCAGCTATATTTGTTTTACCTTTGTTCTTAACCATGAGCCTATCAGTGGGGTGTTCTAAAAAATATTGAAAAAAACCCGGAGTGCTCATTTAGACATATAGCTAGGAGGCTGAGGCAGGAGGATCGTTCTTAGTTCATGAGGAGCCGGGGCTACAAAGTGAGGCCAGCCTGAACTGCATAGAAAAACCGTATTTAAAAAAAGAAGAAGAAGAAATGAATAAACATACAGCTAGCTGATCTACTTATTTTCCCACTCCTGTTTGCCAGTATTCATCCCTGCTCAACTTGCCAAGAAGAGGAAATAAAACTGCTTTTTCAAACTTACCAGTATACTTTACAAAGTGGGTGCCCAAAGATGAAATTTATAGGGTTCCTCCTAAGTTAAAGGAAACTTGTTTTCTTCCTCTCAAATCTGTTGGATGCTTTTAGAGCAGAGTAGGAATTTATGTCAAGGTGAATAACTTTTTCTCAGGAGAGGAACAATTTAGGAAGTCTTATGTAAATGTAGGATTATTATTTTGAGATTAATGGTGGATGAATCACCAAGAAGTGTTTGTTTTGTGGCTACTGAAATAATCTCTCTTAGAAAAAACAGTATGAAAAAGTCCATAATATAGGGAACAAGAACTGAGAGGTCAGAGGGAGATAGTCATGAGTTCATGCTTTAAGAAACATCTGCTTTCTAAAAATGGCAACATTTTCAGCGCAATTTTATTTGGATGTGTAGTCTGTTTGACAACTCTGGGATGACTGTCTTTTCCTGAAGAACCTTCCAGACGAGAGAAAGCAAAGCAGATCCCAGAGGGTCCAGTAGTAAGAAAAGGTACTGTGTGCTGACCAGTAATTCCCACTAGTAATCTCATTTTATGTCTTTCTTTGCCTTATTCTCTCTTGCTGTCTCTCCTTCCTTCCTGTCCCTCCTTTCCCCTGTTCCCTCTCTTCTGCCCTTCTTTTGGACTGGATCCAAGGCCTTTGCACTGAGCACTGTCCCTAGAGACTCTTCCCTTTAATATTTTAAAATTTTGATTCAGAGTCTCAAAATCACCAAGTTACCCAGGCTGCCCTCAAACTTGTTTTTTGTTGTTTGTTTTGTTTTGTTTTTATGTATTTGGTAAAGTCCTACTATGCAACTTGGACTTGTAAATTATCCTTCTGTTTTCAGCCTCCCCAGTGCTGAGATTTCAGGCATATGCCACCACACCAGGTCTCAGTGGCCAGCCGAGCTGGCCTGGGGGTGGGGCTGGCATGGCATGTGGTAGTGGAATCACACTCTGGTCCCTGCGCTTGCCTAAGTAGGTGCTTAGTTCACTGAGCTTGCCATTGGCCTCAAACTTGTAGTCTTGTTACCTCAGCCTCCCAGAGTGCTGAGATTATAAATGTGAGCCAGCACACCTGGCTTCATGTTGTCTTTATGGCATCCGAGCCCACTTAGACCCAAGCACTATTACAGCTTCATTACCACATTACTAGTGGTCATAGTAAATCTCCTAAATTCAAATAACATAATTCAAATTTAAAGAAAGATTTCTAAAGATACTCCTTGTTCTTGGGTAGGAATAAGAAAATGGCCATACTTTCAAAGCTGCTACACAGATTTAACACAATACTTGATCAAAATACCAATAGGATATCTCACAGAATTAGAACAAGCGGTCCTAAAATGTGTTTGAGAGCAGAAGAGACTTAGAAGAGCAAAAGCAATTCTTGCCAACAAAGGGGGGGGGCATTACAATCCCTGAGTTGAAATTATACTTCAAAGCTACTGTGATAAAATCAGCATGATACTGGCAGAAATAAAAATGACATAAGGATCAATGGAACAAATTAGAAGATGCAGAAACAACTCCAAATGTACTCAGTCACTTCATCTTTGATAAAGAAGCTAAGGACATTACAGGAAAAAATAACCTCTTTAATAAATGGTGCTGGAAAAAGTGGCTCTCCACATGCTGAAGATTAAAACTAAACCTGTGTCTTTCACCATGCATTAAACTAAAATTGAAATGGGTAAAAGATCTAAATATTAAAACAGAAACACTAAGTCTGCCAGAAGACAGAATAGGTAAAACTTGAAAACATTGATGTGGGTAAAGGCTTTATGAGTAAAATGTAGATCAGACAGGAACTGTCACAAGGAACAACTGCAACCTCATCTTATTGAAAATGTTTACACAATAAGAGAAGCCACTAACACAGTCAAGAGACACCCCACAGTGAGGGAAACATATTTGCTGGATGTTCCTCAGACAAAGGAGTAATAGGTAGAATATTGTAAAGAATTGGGAAAAAAAGCCAGACTCCCCCAGTTTTAAAGACCCAATTTAAAAATGGACATCTGAAATGAATACTTCTCAGACAAAGAGGTAGGAATGAAAGATAAATATATGAAAACATGTTCATATATAGCACTAATCATTTGAGACATACAAATTAGAACAATACTGAGAGCAGGGCGTGGTGGCATAGGCCTCTGATCCCATCACTCTGGAGGTTGATGCAAGAAGATGAGCACAAGTTTGAGGCCATCGTGGGCTACATAGTGAATTTAAGGCCAGCCTAAATTAAATAGACCCTACATTAAAAAACAAACAAACTTGTCCTACCAATTTGATTTGAAACTGTCTCATTGCTATTTGTTTCTCAATAAAAGTATGAAAAAAAATACTTCAATAGTGGACTCTAGAGTTTTGTATTTTAATATTTGTAGCTTATACTTCAACTATAGTGTTAACTTTATTACCAGGATAGATTCTTGATAATGCCATTAGCTTCCCAGTGCTATTTGAACTTAATAAAGTGTTACTTAGCATAGTATTTCCCATTATTGACTAATAGTAATCATTTGGCACTATACCTGTTGCAGAATAGTATACTGATTATATGTTTGTTTGAACTGTCTTGAAATAAATAGCCTGAGTGGATTTTTTTTCCCACATTTTATTTCCTAGTGAAAAAATACTAATAGGCTAAAGCTAAAAAAAAAAAAACCTGCTAAGGTTTCATCTCACTCTTGAAACAATGGCTATTACCAAGAAATCAAAGAATAACAAATGCTGGAAAAGGCTATGGGGGGAAAAGAAACTTCCACTGTTGGTGGGAGTATAGACAGGTACAACCACTATGGAAATCAGTGTGGCGATTCCACAAAAAAGCTAAAACTAGAGCCTCCATTTGACCCACGTATTCCCTTTCTTAGTATGTTCCTGAAAGAAAAGCATCATATCACGTATGTTTATAGTGACACAATTTGTAATCTTGGAAACAGCCTATCATTGGATGAATGGATAAAGATGGCATGGGTTTTTAATGCAATGGAGAACTACTACGCCATAAATAAGGATAAACTCAAGACATTTCGAGAAAAATGAATGCACCTTGAGAGACCATATTCTTAAGTGAAATAAGTTGGACGCAGATATGTAAACATTGCATTGTTTCTCTGGTGTGAGAAAGCCAAAGCTTAAAAAGGGACCAAAATATACAGTACATTGGGAAAAGAGAAGAAAATGTTCAAGTGAGAGGGAAACAAGGTGGGGTAGAGGGGAAGAAACAACATCCCTTTTTTATTTTTTACTTATATATTTGAGAAAGAGTCTGGCTATGTAGTTCAGGTTGGCCCTGAACTCATTATGTATCCCAGGATGGCCTGAAACTTGCAATGATCTTCCTGTCTCAGCCTCCTGAGAGCTGGGGTCACAGGTGTGCACCACCACACCATGTTACATTTTTGTTTTACAAGTTCTGTTATCTAAGATTTGAAGTTGGTTAATGTTATGGCTTGATGCCCCTCCAGCACGTCTCATGCAATATAGATAGATGGGGCTTATTCAGAGGTGGCTGAATCTAGAGTGTGTGATGCTGGGGTTGATTCACAACGCAGCTCAAGGACAGTAGGATTAAATTAAGGGTGTGAGTGCTACCAGTCCTAAGTAGCCTGGATACAATATAAATTGCAGAAAGCCACTTTAAAGGTTCCTCACTTGTTGCTTTGCTAGTTTGTGGGCATCATGAACTATTCTCCTTTGTGATGCCTGTCTACCATACCACCCTGCTTTGGAGCCAGCTAAGTATGGGCTGAAACCTCTGCAAACTGTGAGCCAAATAAAACTTTTCCTTTTTAACTCTGAATGTCAGGTATTTCCTCTCAAAAACAAGAAAAGCAACTAAGACAGAATTTAGTACCAGAGAAGGGGGTCATCATTGTGACTATACCTGGCTATGTGGTTCAGGAGCCTTTGGGACTGACTTGTGAGAAGAGTTTGCAAAGGTTTAGAGATACTGGCTGAAGAAGCAGAGCTGGAACAACTTAGGTGGTCCTTGATGTGAAATTATGGTCAGAAAACTAGAAGGCTCACACCTATACTCCCAGCACTCAGGAAGGCAAGGCAGGAGGATCACTACATAGTGAGATCCTGTCTCAACCTTCCCCCTGCCAAAAGAAAGAAGAAAAGAAAGCTGATATAAATCATGCTGGTGAAGACCAGGATTAGAAGGCTTCTGCTGGGAAGAAAGACTGCATTGGTTGTTGCAGTCAAGGCAATGTGTGTTATGACTGGCAGAAAGTGTTTTTGTATTTTGCTTATGTCCAGAGACTTTGCCTGAGACTTAGAATAATAGCAATGGACTGATTAATCTCGCATAAGAAATCTGGCAGTCAAATGTTCAGGCAGTGGCATGGCTACTGTTGGGAGATTTTGGCCATTTTTATGTAAAGAATCAAGAGCAAAGAGCTCAGCAAGATGTTTAAAAATATTTTGAATTTGGTCATAAAGAAAGCTCCCATAAAGCTGTGGACTTCAAAGACAGAGCAGAGAATTTCTTGATTGCTGAGGAGGAGCAGGAGAATATAACACGGGGGCATCACAAGAAGCAGCAGGACTCCATACTTTGCAGCCTCAAAGTCACAATAGTGAAACTTTGACAAGAGAGTCCCAGAGCAACAAGTTCTACAATGTGAAGGTGTACAGAACTTTTTCCATGGGATTTGGTTCATAGGTACTTGACCCCAACAGCCAAGAGAGAAGTAAGTTTGGCTACTCCTCTAGATGGCAGCACACTTTGCTGTCATCCACATGATGCTAGTTTTAATTATTTATTTTTAAATTAAGCAGAAAAATTTATTGGACAATAGGAATGGGGAATAGCATTAGTTCCTGAGAGATAGGAAGAGTCCTGAATGAATGGGTTACCCATGGTGCTGGTTTTAGGTGTGTGCAGAATACAAGCTCAACAGAGCTTCCACCCATATTTTAGAAGGCTTAGGAGGCCAGGCAATGTGTGAAGCTGTGAATGAGAAGCCAAAGGTGCAGTGGATATCCCAGGAGGTTTGAGAAGCCAGGAACCTGGATCATCCAAAGAGAGCTGCAAGGAGTGAGGAAAGCCAGCTAAACAAAAAGCCATGGGAACTACAACCACTGATAGTGCCATATGGGCAGTGCCACCCGCATTGTTTGCAGTTCACAACTTGCCATTACATTGGAGCCTGATGATCGTAGACTGAAACCTCTACACACTGTGAGCAAAGTAGACCTTTTTCCCTTTAACTTTCGGTGTAAGATATTTTGTCTCAGCAATGAGAAAAGTAAGACAGATGACAAAAGTTTCATTGAGAGCTGACAGTTAGTGCATGCAGAAATGCTGCCAACTGCATGAGTTTGTTAATTTGGGGAATGGCTAGATGCCGATTTGGGGAACAGGGAGAAATATCAGGAGTTTACGGATTTCCTTAAATCACCTATCCTAAGTCCCATCAAAGACTCTTTGTCCATCAAAGACCTGGACATAGTGAGATAGTACTGAGGGGAAAGTCCACAGAGAAGGGCAAGAGGCACCAACTCGTGGGGGAACCTAGAACAAAACTTCAGAACCACTTACTCTGACCCCTTTCCCATAGCCTGATCATCTCAACATTCATACTAACAGATTTAATTAAGTGAAATTCTTTGGGTGTTGTGTTGGGGCATAATGTCAGTAACGCTGGCTAATATATACTTACATTTGCAGAAGGGTGACATTTTCCAGGTTTATACTCTTGATACAGAAAGTACTGCTTTGAATTCCCATCTTCCCATCTATACTCCTCTGTATTTAGTGAGAGGGAATGGAAAGAGGGAGGGTGAAAAATAGAAAGGAGGCTGGTGTGGTGGTGCAAGCCTGTAATCCCAGTACTCTCGAGGTTGAGGCAGAGGGATCACTACCAGTTTGAGGCCAGCCTGTACCTAGTGAGCTCAAGGTCAGCTCAGCTATTGTTAAGCTCAGTTCACTTAACTACACAAAACCTTGTCTCAAAAGAAGCAAAGATACTGTAATTATTTTTTAACTTATTTATTTTTTAGGCAGAATCTCACTATGTAGTTCAGGCTGGCTTTGAACTCCCTGTGTAGCCCAAGTTGGCCTTGAACTTGCTACAATCCTCCTGCCTCAGCCTTCCAAATTCTGGGATTTCAGACATGTGCCATCACCACCAGCTAGAATTCTTGTAGAATTCTATAATACAAGCAAGTACACGTGCTTGTAATCCAAGTGCTTGGGAGGCTGAGGCAGGAGGATCATGAGTTTGAGAATAGCTGTGCTACATAGTCAGAACCACACCAGCCTGGATTATATACAGAAAGACCTTATCTAAAGATAAAATTAAATAAGCACCTGCCTGGCAAGTGCAGGGTCCTGAGTTCAATCTCCGATACTGAAAAAAATGAATAAATAAAATTTTAAAAAGATAAAATTTAAAGACATGCTTATAGAATTATAGAAGCTGAGTCTGATTCTGGAGTTATTTACAATAGAAGTTGCTATCAGGAAATATCTTCCCATTGCACAAGGCAATCCTCAGTGACTGAGAGCCTGTCTCTGCCTATCTCTTCTGTTTTTGGTCCCCTTGATCTTGAGAATGGAGGGTGGGTGTGTTATTAGGTTATGTTCTTGGATGCAGGAGTGTCTCTGAAGATAGGACAGTGATAAGAAAGAAAGAGTAATAAGCAGTAATAAACTATAATTACCATAGCTTGGTGATTGTTCTTAATTATAGGAACCATAAAAACCATGACTTGACCCTACAAGTAAAGAATAAAACACAGTGCCATCTTCTCTTATTGGTGACTAAAAAAAGAGTAAGGGAAAAATGAAAATTTAAAAACCTAAAAGCAAGACAAAGGTGTAGCAGAACTTTCTGTGATAATAGAAGATGTATGTATACAAAAAAATAAATAAACCTAAAGGCCAGCCTGATAGCTCAGCAGACTAACGTGCCTATTTAGGCAGAGCGCAGTGGCTGGGGTTCAGTCCCCACAGTGCTGTGCTGGCCCCACCCCTGGGGCACGCTGAGATAGAGACTGAGACTGGGCGTGGTGGTGCATGCCTGTAAACCCACACTTGGGAGGCTGAACACAGGAGGATCACTATGAGTCCAATCTGTGGAGTGAGACCCTGTAGACCCTGTACTAAATACAAGAAGAAAAAAAAAAAAATGAGGCATCGTCAGAATTTTACTTGCTCAGGATCCCACAGCTGGGAAGCAAGGAATAGAGACACAGTTTACACACCAGTAGCTTGGTTGCACAGCCTGCCCACCCACACTGCATCAGCTCAGGAATGAGATGGTGGTGCAGTGACTGGGGCCATGTGTCGCAAAGCATACAGGCACGCAAGCTCAGAGGAATACCATGGAGTACTGGTGATCACTTGTGATCTTGCCATGGTGCCTGGTTTGATCTTAAACTCAGGGCCTCAAGTGATCCTGTCTCACCTCTGTTTCAGTCCTAGGAATTGAACTCAGGATCTTCACACTGAGCTATGGCCCCAGCAGTTTTCTCTTCTTTTTTTGAGGCAGGCTCTCACTATGCAGTTCAGGCGGGCCTTGTGCTCACTTTTGTGGGCCCCAGGCTGGCCTCAAACTCAGAGATTCTCCTGACTCAACTTCCCAAGTACTGGGATTACAGCAGTGTGCCACCACTCCTGGTTCCGGGGTGGAGATGGTGCGCCCCGGGGATCTGGAGCCAAGACTGAACAGCATGTGGGGCTGGGGATAGAGCTCGGGTCCTTGTGCTTGCCAGTTAGGTGCTTATGCCTCTAAGCTATCTCTCTGGCCCCCCTCTTCATTTTTTTATATTGAGACAGTCCCATGAAATTATACCATTCTGGGCTGGAACTTGCAATCTTCTTGCCTCACTTCTCAGCGTCTTAAGACTACAGGCCAGAGATGCTATGAAAAGACTGTGGAAATACTAAGTTCATCACAAACTGTGAAATTGGGAACTCTGGACTTGTGTATTGCCAACAGTGAAACAGACATTAAAAATATGGGGATTTGGTCCGACATAGCATAATAGGAAAGAAAAGATATCTAGCAGTACTTCACATCAAGTATCTCTGTTTACAGAGCAATAGATAAATATGTAAAAAGGAAACCATGAGATTTTGTATCCTGTAGTGGTTGAAAGCCTCTGAGGAAACCAGTAAGATATGAAGATGGGTTGCCAAAGACAGGCGCAAGACAAGACCCCAGACAGGATTTAATACACCCTGAAGTCTGCACAATCTTGAAAGACCACAAAGCAAATATGCAATCTCAGGAGCCTGCTAGACCTCATGGGGCAGGCTCTTCTTAGGATCCCTTTGGGGAATTGACTGAAAAAGTGGTCCAGTTGAGTGTGGTGGCACATAACTATTATCCCAGCTACTCCAGAGGCTGAGACAGGAAGATCACAAGTCCCAAATGACATTGGGTAATTAACAAATCTTTGTCTTAAAAAAATGGAAAAGACTGGTATATATATCAATTGTAAGTGCTCCTGGGTTCCATCCCCAGTACTACTGCAAAAACAAACAACAAAAACCACCACAAAGTCAATTAAAATTCAATTGCTGGGCTGGCCTGATAGACATGCCTTAGGCAGAGCACAGTACCAGGTTTGATTCCCAGTGTGTTGTGCTAGACCCACCCACTGGACATGCTGAGATGGCGATTGAGACTGGGCGTGGTAGTGCACGCCTGTAATCCCAGCACTTGGGAGGCTGAAAACAGGAGAATCTCTATTAGTCCAATACGTAGTGGGACCCTATAGACCTTGAAGACCCTTCCCTAAAATACAGAAAAAAAAATTCAATTGCTTATGTAGAAGGTTGGCTGCAGGACTTGAACCAGAGTTAAGTATGGAGGCTCTGGTATAACACTTGCCTAGCATGTGTGAGGCCCTGGGTGTATTCCAAGGACAATAAACATTACAAACAAGTAAATAAGCAAACAAAAAACTATGATGAAGTATGTTCTGAAGGTTATGCCACCGTGGCCAGTGTGCCCACTGACAAACTGTCTTTGCCCATCAAATAGTAGTATGTTGCTTTGGTGGAATGTAAACTCAACTGTTCTTCATATCCTGCTGGGAAAACACTACAGAAAATTGAACTTTGTTCCACAATTTTTCTTTCATAGATGTTTTGCAGATAATCTTTTTTTGGTTTACATATACTTACTTTAGACAAAGTCTATAGACATTAATTGATTAGGGTTTTTTTTTTTTTTTTTTTTTGTGGAACTGAGGATTGAACTCAGGCCCTTGCGCTTTCCAGGGAAGCACTTTTTCTAATGAGCCATCTCCCCAGCCCCAATTGATTAGGTTTGAACTTTGTTTTTGTTTTTTTTGTATTTTTAGGGAAGTGTCTACAGAGGCTTCAGGGTCTCACTAAGCAGCTTGGACTCCTAGTGATCCTCCTGTTTACAGCCTCCTAAGAGCTGGGATTACAGGCTCATGCCACCACTCCCAGTCTCAATTGCCATCTCAGTGGAGCTGGCACGGCAGGCCCAGGGATTGAACCCATGGCCTCTGTGCCTGCTTGCAGGCGCTTTAATCTGCTGAGCTATTTGGCTGGCCCTTTCTTCTTCTGCTTCAACAGGGTTTCACTATGTAGTTCAGGCTGGCCTTGAGCTCACTATGTAATCTAGGCTGGTCTTGAACTCATGGAAAACCTCCTGTCTTGGCCTCCTGAGGGTTGGAATTACAGATGTCAATCACCAAGCCCTGTGTATAGTCTCATTACTAAGTTGAGTGTTTACTTTTATACCAATCCGTGTTTATCTCTGTTAAAATAACTGGAGGAACAAGAATAGTAATAATAACAATCACAGCAGAACAAACCACTTGTTTAATATCAGGCCCATTTACCCAATACAAACTTCTTTTCTTTACAGATATTATTTTTACTTTTATGTTCACAACACTAGAGCAGTTCCATTACATAGTCGATGCTCAACAAATATTTGTTAAATGAATTAGAAAAACACTTTAGGAAACAGTGCCTTAGAGTTTTGGAGATAGGTAGAAGGCAAGCAGGAAAGCTTGGAGTTCAGGATAGAGAAAATCTCAAGGATGCCAAGAGCTAATTAAACATTTGATGCCCCTTCCCTAAAACAAAGAATAAATAAATAAATAAATAACATTTAATGCATGTGGTTTGATACATGGATTGATGCATTTGATGCACGGGATTGATACATTTGGTATAAGGATTTGATGCAAAAAAAAAAAATGGTTAAATTTCTAGAGTGGAAGGAGCAGCAGACAAATTCTTACTAATACTGTGTTTTTCTGCTACAGGAGATTTCATCTTGGGAGGAGTACGCTACTTACGGGAATTGCTTGAATCCAGTACAGCGCACCACCCACCCTGTCGCAATCTTGTCAGTCTAGAGTCCAAAAACGCTTGCATTAGAACTTCCTCCCTCCCATCTGGACCGGGAAATATTCCAACAAACCCCGAAATCTCCAAGACAACACTGTAGTAGCCTGGGTGACCCCGCTTCCCTTGTCCAGGAAGCAACTCAAGCCCTGGCTGTCTTCATTTTATTCTTGGGTTGTACAGTTGGAGCCTTGAAATTTTATCTTTTTAAGGCTTTCACGGTTTGCAAGAGCGGGGCTACAGATAGACGCTTCAAGGGGCGCTGCTCGCCCTGTCGCCTTAGCCCTCCTTTGCGGGAGACCCACGCCCTGGGGCTGTGAAAAGACTAGAGGCTAAAAGGCCTCTGGTAGGCACTGGAGGGCTTTGGGCTTTGAAAAGAATTCTGATTGGATTTTCTGCTCGGCCTCTGGCACAGGGAGTACGTCACCATGGAGACGGGCGGGCCCGCCTGCTTGGCTGCCATTGGCTGGGGCCACTGGGGCTGGGAATAAAAGCCAGCGCCCAGGGCACAGGGAGTTAACTGTGCTGACAGGACCGGATCGCCGCCGAGCTCCACCGGTTGTCTGGATAGATCGATCAGCGAGACCATGGAGAGCGGGTGAGTTGAGCATCAGGCCCAGGGACCCCTAAGCCCCCTGGGGAGGGGAAATAACCGTCGTCGAGAGCAGGGAACTCAGCACCTTGATCTGCACGGGCCAGGGAGGGGAAGCGGAGAGCTCCCTGGGGACGTGGAGCGGCCTGGCGCGGAGCCTGGTGCCAGGTTCAGGGTGGTGCGAGGGCCAGAGCGGCAGAACGGTGGGCCAGACAGCGAGGGCAGGGCGCGTGCGGCGATCGACCCGCGGTGGCGCCGCAGAAGCGGTTTGTGTAGTGGAGGCAGCTCCTAAAGAAATTGCTTTTGCGTCGTCGTCTATGTGCGTGTGTTAGGGTGCAAGTAGAGACGGAGGCACACCCCTCACTCCACACCGCAGACTTGGTCTCCCCACCTCCATGCTCTTCACAGGTGATCATTTAGGGTCCAGGTAAAGACAGCCACTTTGGGTGCTCAAGCCTGGAGTTCTTTAGTTCTTCCCAGTCAAGCTCCTTCCTACCCTCCAAACTGGAAGTCAATTTCACCAGTTGTGAATGGAGTCTCCCGGCAGAGGAGATCTTTATTCACGGAGCAGAGCACATTCCCACCCAACACCTTTGAAAAACCTTTGTCTTTGCTTTGGTCCTCCAATTTCCCTTCCAAGTCATCAGCATGGGGCTCAGCCGCGCCTTGATGAACACTAGTAGGAAGTCCTCGCCGCGTGGTGATGGCTGCAGGCTCCTTTCATTTTCTTTTCACCTCTGAAGGATGCCTGTTATTGGTTAATTTGTCACCACCTTATTGGCTCTGTTGCTTCTCCCAACCTGTTACCCAGCTACTTCCCTGATTTAATGTGGAATTTTGTCTGGTTCCCCAGGCATTTTTACTTTGTTTTGTTTTGTTGAGACAAGGTCTGGCTCTGTTGCCCGGGCTGGATTACTGGGGTTTAAGAAATCCTCTCACATCAGTTTGATAAGTGGGACCACTAGTTCCTAGGCTCTGCTTTTTGTTGTTGCTGTTGCTGTTGCGTGTGTGTGTGTGTGTGTGTGTGTGTGTGTGTGTGTGTGTTGAGACAGAATCTTGCTATCAGTCAGACTGGCCTCAAACTGGCAAGTGATCCTCTTGTCTCAGCCTCCCAAATGCTGGGATTGCAAATATGTGCCACCACACACTGTCTAGACTCTGTTTTTGAAGGAAAATAATTTCTTCTGGAAGGTTAGTTGTATTCAACTCTATTACGTCTCATTTCTACCTCTGAGCACGATCTTTAATCCTGTCCGGGAGGTGCAAAGCAATCAAGGTAGGAACTGAGGAAAGTTCCTGATTAACTACCCTTACTAGTAGTGTAGGGGCTCTTGGGGACCAGTTGCTCTTATGTTCTTAAGGGAAAAAGTCTTGGTGTGAAGAGAAAGAGGATGGAGGTAATCAGGGACCAGGAAGAACAGCAGGAGGCGATCACAGACATCAAAAGCAGGAAAAAAATTCCAATTTTTGGAGCTTCCTAGCAAGGTTTTAATTTGTGGGTATGGGCTCACAATCTGTGCTCATAACAAACAAGCTTCTGCAGAGAACTTAAGCAGTCAATCCTAGTTTTGTCAGAGAACCAGTTTGTGTATTTGTTGCCTGTTACATTGCAATGGTTTAGTCTCAGGGTTTGGGTACCTTTGCAATTCCATATGATGAGTTTGTGAGGACATGGGAGTCTTAGAAATAAGCATTCAGGAGAAACTCAGAATGGCATGTAGACTTCTACTAGGAGTGTTCCCATTGCTTCCTGTCCCGTCCCATCTCATCCTGTTTCTCTCTCTCTCTCTCTCTCTCTCTCTCTCTCTCTCTCTCTCTCTCTCTCTCTCTCTCATCTTCTTTCTTTTGTCAGTCTAACAATTTAGACCCAAGAGCTATGGTGTGTGTCAGGCCTGTAGACCAGTTACTTGAGAAGCTAAGGCAGGAGGATCACTTGAGTCCAGCAGTTGGAGGCCATCTTCTCTAGAACACAAACACACACACACAACATCAGGGCTGGGTGTGTGGCAGCTTACTGGTAGAGTGAAGCATTCTTTTGGTTTTTTTTTTTTTTTTTTTGGCAGAACCAAGAATTGAACTCAGGCCCTTGCGCTTGCCAGGGAAGCGCATATTCTACTAAGCCATCTCCCCAGCCCCTTTAGAGGGTGAATTTCTAAGAGAAAATTGGTTTATTTTCTGTTTTCAGGGCATGTAGACTAAATTACATTTTATTTTTCTTTGAGACAGGGTTTCACTATAGTTCAGGCTGACACTGAACTCTATGTATCCCAAGGTGGCCTCAAACTTGTGATCCCTCTGCTTCAGCCTCCTGAGTGTACCACCAAGCCTGGAATATCCTTAATCACATGTTGAGTGTCATAGGGGATAGATATGAGAGTCATAGGGTATATCTGTCTATAAGCTTATATTAAGTTTATTACTGCCCTCAGAAAGGTCTTAATTGCTTTGTGAATTCTCTCCTTAGCCTTAGCCTCTGTTTCATTACACTTCTCTGGCCCTATAAACACCCCTGACCCTCCTGAAGTCTTTGTTATGAGCAGTAATAAATTCATAAATTCATCCGTGCTGGAGGTGCCGGTCAGCAGCAGAGCACTTGTCTAGTGAGAGACCATGGGTTTGATCCCCAGTACCACAATGAAAGCAAAACAAGACAAAACCTGTGATGCTGGAGTTGGGGCTGTTAGTGGAGACAGAATTCTTTAACTTCCTCTCAGACTGAAGGATCATGAGTTTTTGCTGCAGACACATTATTGCTACCTCTTGGCCAGTTTTTTTGTTCCCTGATATCTTGACTCCTGCCAACGTTTCTACACTGAAGCTCATTTGTCTGTGATACCTGTGGACTGGGAGTCCAGTTCACTGTGATTTTCTTTTTACCCCCTAGATTCACCTACGAAGATTACCAGAACACCGCACGATGGCTCCTCAGTCAGACCAAGCACCGGCCCCAAGTGGCAGTGATCTGTGGTTCTGGGTTAGGAGGTCTGGCTGACAAATTAACACAGGCCCAGTCCTTTGACTACAGTGACATACCCAAATTTCCCCGAAGCACAGGTACTGGGAATTAAAAAGGGAGGATGAAACTGAGAGATATTGATGGGATTCTGTAGAACTCAATCCGGGAAGCCAGTGCTATTACTTCTGGACCTCACATTTCACCTGAATCAAATGTTGTAAGAGGGAAAAAAGACTAGTTCAAAATTTCCCTCAAAGAGATTTCCTAAAGCAGTGCATGTATCAGTGCAACTAAGACAACATCTTTCCTGTGCTCTACTGACTTACTGCTCCTTGGAACTCCGCAGCACCTTTCCCTGCATGCACCTCCTCAAATACACCCATCCCTCTTATTAGCTCTGCCCTGTGCCTTACTATTATTTATTTATTTAGAACAGGATCTACAGGGTCTCACTACACAAATTGGACTCATAGTATTCTCTTGTTTTATTTTAGTTTTTTTATGTATTTAGTACAGGGTCTACAGGGTCTCACTACATAGATTGGACTCACAGTGATTCTCCTGTTTTTAACCTCCTAAACGTTGGAATTACAGGCATGCCATGCCCAGTGTCAACATGGCTTGAGGGCAGCGCTGGCGCAGGATGACATGGCACTGCACTGCACAGTGGGGATCAAACCCCAGCCACTGCACTCTGCCTAAGCAGGCACTTTAGTCCGCAGAGCTATCTGGCTAAGCCCTAGGTTGTCTTTTTTTTTTTTTTTTTTTTTTTTTTTT